AAGATTGACAAGACGCAAGGCATTATAGGGATGTGAAAGTATAGAGAATAGTTAGATATAGAACAATCCCCTAAACATCTGCTATTGTACCCTTTGTTATCTAGGCCTACCCCGGTCCTTAAGTCGCCTTAAGTCGCCTTAAATCGCTTAAAGTCGACTTAAAATGCCTTAAGTTTGATCTTTTCGGACTTATTTTTTGCATTTTTGTATTCATTACTTCTATCATTCATGCATTCATGCATTATTTGACCACCATTACCAGAATGCTTTGCAAATTCCCTCATGAGAAAAGTAAGAAAATTGATGAAATGAACAAAACAAAGGAATTCTGGTAGCAGAGGTTCATGACGCCACAATGCAAATGTCCTAGCTATTATAGTGGAGCACTCATAGTCATATGAATAACAAAAAACTGACATAAACTCAACATATAATATTATGTAAATAATTAAGACATGTCACTTAGAGTACAAACACTATAAGTGTGTAACATAAATACCACTATATACTGCTAAATTATGCTAATCCTATTGTTTTCTATTGTTTAATTAGCACTATTTACTACTAAATAGTGCAAAGTGTTGCACACTTTTAGTGTTTGTACTCTATAATCATATATATAATAACAAACTGATATATACTCATAGAGTGATTGCCATATGACCGTGAAAGAAAATAGACCATTTAGTTTGTAATAGTTGATAAAGAACAAAAGAAAATCATTGGTTTAGAGTCTACTACTAACTATTAGTTTGCCTATTCTTTCACGATCATATGAAAATCACTCTAATATGAAAATAAACAGATATAATATGTAAATAATATTAAGACATATGCTATATATGAGCAGCCAGAATACCTCGCTGATATAAACTACCATACTAAGTTTTATTTATCTCTGTTGGGTCATTTGACGTTAGATAATTTTAAAATGGATAATGTTTTAAAATGCAATAAGTCTGTATTTTGAAGTCAATCTTGCTAAAATACGTGGTTTTTGGTAAATAAGAATATTTGATTTATTTTTCAACCAATACTTTTTTGACTGAGATTACTGAAGTTCTTAGAAAGCTTTTATCGCAGACCACGTCATTACTACTCCAAAATTATACGAACTATACAAAGCATTGATTTCTTTTTACGTGCATTTGATTTAAGCTTATATTTTTTGCAAATAATCTTTAAACTTAGCTCAGAAAATTTAGCTAACTAAGAAAATGCATGATGAATAATGCTGGAACTTTAAGGCCTAGAAATACACATACACTTGTATACCTAGACACATTTGACTTTATTAATGAAAGCTTTTACTATGTTTGATAAATAAGACGTACTTTACAGGCAGACCGAGAACATTCTAGAACATGATCTACTCACTTGTGAGCTAACGCCATGCCATAGGAATTAAAGTCCCTTCATTCCGATCACTTTCACATTCGAATGCAGCTCACCCTAGTTATCTCCTCCATTTTAGTGGTGTTATTACACTGACTATTGTAATGCGCTGTGAAATTCAAAGAAAACAAACCATCCGAAAAGCCATTCACAAAACAGTATAACATTCGCCATTCGGAAATAGTTTGGCGCGCAAGGAATTGTGGTTGTAATTGCAACTTCTCGCCACAGATTCTCTCTGTTGTTGGTCTTCCAAATATTTGCAGAGAGGGAGGGATGGGTTTGGATAATATAAAAGATAGGATGTTCTTCGTCGGTAAGGACAGTAAGTTACAACACGCTATTGTTCGAGAAAAATTTCTTAAGTTTGGAGGAATAGTCGTAGCCGACAAATGGGGTGACGTGACCTTTAAAGAGGGCTTGCAGAGCATGAAATTGCCCGGACTTCCAGATCAAACTGTATCAGTATCGATGGAGTGGATTGCTAGCTGCATTGCCGATAGGAAGATTCTCCCTAAGGTTGCGTACGAAGCAAGAAATCAAAAGGTCCTTTGAAACCTCTTTTACTAGTAACACGCTTTTCGCCATAGTTATACTCGCGGGATTCGAGACCTCTTGAGACTTTTACGGGAAGTGTACTTGAAAGCTTGAAAGGACTGGTAACGAACAAATTGGCGGATTTCTTGTGGATGTTGAAAAAGTCAACAAGAGGACGAGAAAGACGTACRCTGTGTCAAAGACACCTTCCAAGTTTTTTTATCAACCAAAGAAGTAGTGACAAATGCTTTTGAGTCTCGACGATGGTCAGAAGAAGTGTTTGAATTCAGAAAAAAGCTTGCTTATGGAGGTCGATATGCCGATTGGGAGTATTTTGCTGGTTAAKGTCTGACGTAAAGCACCAAATAGGATAGGCTCCTGAGAAAGAAAGCTAAGCTGATATAAAAAGATTGAGCTTATGTGTAACTTAGCAATATTTTGTACTAATTTATGTTCATGGGTTTAGTGCGAGCATGCTAGGGTGTTTTAACACGGTCCTTATTCATACCATTTATGGTATCTAACAGGTGCCAGTATAAAATCAGAAATGCCAATGCAAACTGTGATTGATTAATAGAAAGACCTGTCTCAGTAGCCTTGGTCCCCTAGTTTGCATTGGCATTTCTGATTTTATACTGGCACCTGTTAGATACCATAAATGGTATGAATAAGACAGTCCTTTGTTTACCTTTGGTTAGATGGATCATTTCATTTATTTATTTACAAGAAACTAACTTTGCTCTCATAAATCACCTTAGTTGCTTTAAATCGCCCTAAAAATACCCAAAATGTCATCATATTTTCTTAAATCGCCTTAAGTCGCCTTAAGTTGCTTTAAATTCCGGCGACTTAAGGACCCGGGGTAGGCCTTTATCTGGAACCAGCCTTTGAGTTATTGAGTTTTGAATTTCAAGATATAATTATTTTTTTTAATACTCAGTATATTAAAGCTCTGCCTTTTTAATTTGTTATTTTCAACTGCAATTGAATGGTTTGAATTAAAAAACCCAAATAATTTAAACAATATAAATATTTTTAATTTTATAGTTTTAAAAGTTTTTAATAACAATTTTATTGTGTTACAGTTGACTTTTCGGTTTAGTTGAAGGCTCAGTAGGGAGTACTATTCATGTTAGTTAAAAAGAAATGATCAAAAAATTTTTAAAAAGTCATTATAGCTCTTCTAAGAACAATGTTCTAGTAAATTATAGGTCGACAGGTTTTCTTATAAATTAATGATATTTTATTTCATTTTGTAGCAAGACGCACCTTTCTAGAGTTGAAGCGTGGCACAACCAGATTATTGGATGAGCGTAATAAATAATTTGATTTGATTCTTCTCAACAATGATATCTGAGTTGATCGATGGTAATTTATCGTTATACCCCTTGTCAATGACCTTCAACAAATTAATGAAACCGGTCTTCCACTTTCGATGATAAAAATAATTCTCAGAGTGACCGTTATATCCTTTATATTGTCTTCTTCTTAAAGATAGACATTCTATACCACCAGCAAAAAGGATGTTGTATGTGTCAGGGTTAAAATACTTGCTTTGAACAATCTATACGGCATGCAATTAAGATACACAACTGCTTGCATTTCTATGCATGCATCGATTTTATAGTTTTAACGTTTTAAATAACAGTTTCATTTGAAGGTTACACTTTCATTTTGGGCACGTCTATTACCAGAATCCTTACAATTTTTATCATCGCAGCTCCTTTACCAGAAATGTCGGAGTAAGTTCTGCAAAGAAATAGTTCTATCTATAGTAAATATAAAACGATCCCCTAATGATCTGCCATCCCTTTGTTTTCTGGAACCAGCCTTTGAGTTACTGAGTTTTAAAATTCAAGATATCAGTAATTATTTTTTCTTTTTACTTAGGATATTAGAAATCTCTGCCTTTTTAATTTGTTATTTTCAACTGCAATTGAATGGTTTGAATTAAAAAACCCAACTAATTGAAAATGAAATTATTACAGTTTCACTTTTACAGTTTTAAAAGTTTTTAATAACAGTTTCATTTTGCTACAGTTTACGTTTCGGTTTAGTTGAATGCTCAGCAGTGAGTACTATTCATTAAGTCATGATCATTAAAAATAATAATATTAAGAAATAAATAAAAATATTACAATTTCAAGATTACAGTTTTAATAGTCTTTAATAACAGTTTTATCGGTTTGGTTGAAGACTCAATAGTCAGTACTATTCATTAATTCGCAATCAGTCTTCTAAAAATATTGTTCTAATAAATTATGTTCATCGACCGATTTTCTTATAAATGAATGAAATTTCATTTCATTTCTAGTTGAAGCAAGAGGCACCCTTCTAGTTCTGTTTTTCAGCTTGGAAGGAATTATTCGCTAAAGAATCACTAAACCAATGGCTTTTGAAAGTCAAATCACATTTTTGAGTCTCACTTTGGTCTCATTCTTTATTCGCTTCTGCGAAAGTGGATGTTCTGAAGGACTATATTTTGATAAACTTCCATTCAGAAAGTTTGAGTTGGGAAATGTAATCCAAACGATTTTCGTTGAAGATGAAATGGACTGCTTTATTACTTGCTCACGTTTGCCAGAATGTTTGTCTATGAACATCGCTGACCAAAAGAAGCAAGATGGTTTGTTGGAATGCATTCTTCTAAGAGAGTTAGCAATGCCTTCTWCCGGGCTCTTCATCCTATCTCAGATCTATCATTACTACTTTCGACGCTTCGGAGAGGTGAGCTTGCTTTGATACAAATACCATTAATCGTTGAAGTGCAGCCTGCGAAGTTTGATGTCTCGTTCAAAGACTAGCATTAGAAAGAATAAAAAAATACAAAAACACAATAATATTTTGAGAGAGATTTTGGACTAAATTAAAGATTTTAGAGTTAGGGTTAAAATCTTTAATTCAGTCTATAAATCTCCATAAAGAGATTTTTCTTTTTAATTAAAAAAAAAACCCGTTGTGCTGTTAACAAGAGAAAGAGACTGTTGCCTGTGAAAGCATCAGAAAAAACCTGTTAACATTTGGTCAGCTACGATTTCAAGCTCACGCCCACTCATGTGAGCCCATATAAATTATGTCTCAAAAACACGGTTTTTGTATCTTTTCTCAAAATAATAACTATCTAGGCAAAAAACAGAAGTGGATTCAGTTAATTTAACTAACTGTTATATATGGTTTAGATTGAATTCTATTGAAAAAAAACCACCGTACTTTTTGAGTTGAATATACGCTATTGGATGTATTTTACAAGAGAAAATGCATGACATAACCGAGGCCAAGCTAGAAAATCGTCTCTCCTTGAAATAAAACAGAACTTGTCAAAAAAAAAATTTGAATTTGAAAACCCCGGGCTTTCCTTAACATTTTGGTATATAATTCATAGGAATTTGTTAAAATTTAGAACCGTATTTTTGATGATTTCAGTTATAAGCTCATCCTATCTTTTGACCTATACATTCGCCTCTTATGGTTTCTTAGGTTTCGTAGCCTCGAAAACACGCTAACTACAGTAGTTCGCAAAGAACAGAAGATTTACAGGGTTATTTAGGGTGTTGTGTCACGCAGTTTACTTGTGCTATATAACTTTATTTTAAGAACAACATTTTGTTTTGGAAAGAAAGGAAAAAGACCGAAAAGAGCAAATATTCCAAATGTATGGGCAATTTTTTCCAATGTTTTTCAGTTTGCGATAAATAAACTGCAGGCTTTTTTCTATTTTTAATCTTGCATTCTTTAGTTGCTTTTTTTCGTAATCTTTTTTTAATTCAACTACATTTGAAGCTGATAGTTTTTTWAATGATATTAATGAGCTTTTTTCATCTTTCCGGCCTGATGCATGATGGGTGGTAGAAGCAATAAATTTTACAGAACATCTGTTCACCACAGATTAATCTCATCTCATCTCATCTCTTCTCCTCTCCTCTCTTTTTTACATAAGGGAGAATAAGAGAAAAATATCAAATGCCCTTGGCAGAATTCGAACCCACGTCTTCGGTATTCTAGTCCGATGTGTTAACCACTACACTACAAGGACCAACCACGCTGGTAACGCAGCCAGAATATGAAATGTAGGGTATTTAAGACGTGGGTCCGAATCCTGCCAAGGGCATTTGATATTTTTCTCTTATTCTCTCTACTTCATTATATACACACCGAACGCATAATTTATTACTACTATACTATGTCTTTTTTACATAATATTTTAATGACAATTGTTTAGGGTTAGGAATACCAAACCACTAGACTAAATATTATTTTCTACAGGGTATGTGTGCCACCCCGAGATGCAAGAATGGCGGGGTTTGCATAACGCTGGTTAACGACTATCGCTGCCACTGCAGACAAACGTTCGCTGGTAAAGAATGCGAATTCTACCGTAAGTAATTTAAGTGTTCCTTGTGCATGGCTTTATTCATAGGGTCTATATAATG